CTGAAACTGTGCATTATTTCTAAAATTAAACACATGGTAATTGCTGGCATATTTTCCAATTCCTCAGAGTTCTCTGTAAACCCACTGCTGGCTGTGTATTTCCCTTCTTGTATTCATGTAGCTGCCTTTATTCTTTATGGTCCTGCTGAGGTCCCAGAGCAGGCAGAAAGCAACTGCTGGAGAAGCATATAAAGCACCACGGCTGAATGCCAGCTACTGCTCCCACAGGTGGCCAGGCTCCTGGAGACACAACTGGAAACACTGGGGAACATCTCATAGGACAGTGCATGGAACCCAATAGCTTGTTTCCAAACAAGGTTTGAGATGACTTAGCTACACGTAAATTTCTTCTCCTTCGCTCCCCTCCACTCTTGGCTTTTACTATACTCTACTCTCAAATAAATCTTTTTCAATTCAACCATCCCTTCCAGAACTGCTAAGAATTATTTTAATATTATGTTTTAGTCTAAATTTCTTTTCAGTAAGCTGTATTTATCTTTGACCTATGCCTTTCTGGACAGAAGACTTTTCTGTCATGGTTTGGTGTATATCGGAAGCATTTTTGCATTTAGTGTTCTCTTAATTATAATTTCCCTTTTATGTGAATATTTTCTGTTGCTGAAGAATTCAAAATGCTTTACAATTTGTAAGCTGTCATAAACACTGTCATTGCTTGTGAGCAGTAGTTGTAGTCTGTGACTTTTTAAATGGACATGGTGTGTTTGTTGTTTGCCATTCAGAATTAAGCTGATTGAATTGCAGTGATGGCATACCATATATAACTTTGAACTTACCAAGTCTGAGTAACTTCTTTTTTGGAAGTGCAGCATCTCAAATATTAGTATGTATTTCATTTTAAAACAGGCCAAGTTTGACTTTATGATGTGTTATATAGGAAATCCTGTGAAATCAGAATAAAGGTTATTCTTTAGCAGTGATACCCTGGGGTAGATACTCAGTTTGTACAAGTTGTTCTCTCTCTGTTTCTAGCTGTCTTCATAAGAAGGAAGCAGATGGCATTTAAAATTTTGATTTGATGGAAAAAGCATTAACAAGAATGTGTGTGAAAGTGAAGGGTAGGAAAATGCATATTTATAAGTAATATTCATATTTTTAATTACATGGGTAATTAAAGAGTAGTAGTTCCAGTTTTTGAAAGCTTATATCTGCAGTATATAAAAGTGGACAATATTTACCTTTTACTATAGCTCAAGGTTAAACCTCTGCACTCGGTTATTCTGTATTAGCTTGGGTGAAACAGATCAAAAAAGGAACTAGATTCCCGTCTTCAAATGAAAAATGGAAAGACTTTGAGCTTAGTGTAGAATAACTGGGTGACATGTTGTGTGGTAGAGAGAAGAACAGGGAATGTGGCAGGAGTCCCTTGGCTATTGCAGCTTATGAGTATGCCAAATAAAGTGCCCCCACTGTTCTGATTCACTGTATAAATTGTCCATTTGACGTACTCTTCCCATGAAATGCTTAGAAATCTTCTGCAAATTAGGCAAATGCTCAGTGTATTGTAGTTTTGTGTCTTTTTCTATTATGGTCACCATTTACAGCTGTTGTTTAAAAGACTCCTGAAACAACATAAATGCAGTTGAAAATTAAGCACAGTTGAGAGTAACTGCTTACAATGTGCTTCTTGGTTCAGATGACTGCAACTTGAGATTTGTTGGCGTGCATGAATGATTCAGCTGCCCTGAGGTGCCTAGGGATTGATGTGGTATTCAAATAACTGGAGTAACCTTCAAATCATGGAGGTTAACACTGAATATACTTATGGTTTCCATTTTTTGACACTTGGTTGCTGAGTGATAGAGCATAGGCAGTTTTGGTTTGATGTACTGGGAAATATGTAAAATGCACAAATGAGCACTGTGTTGCCTGGGCACCTTTGTGATTAACCTTGTCTATAAAATAAAATAATTTAATTGAGCACATTTCAGTCACAGTAGATGAGCCCAAAATATTATTGATCACAGACTGTTGTGCATATGGAACCCCAGTTATTTCCAAGAGCTCTTACTATTACTCTGTTGTATGAAAAAAATCTTTATCTGTTCAGGGTTTTTTTGTTTGTTCCCCTTTAAAGTATTTTGACAGATAGCAGCTCAAGTAAAAACATATAAAATTGCTTTACAGAAATGTGAGATAAACATTCTCCACTTACAAATATTGTAGATGCCAGCTTTCAAGAGCAAGGGCTATTGATCTGCATTTACTTAAGTTAGTGCAAGTCTGCAATAACTCCATTGGAATTGCAAGTTCAATAAAGAATAAATTTATAGCTGCTTTACACGTGGTGATTTCTCTATAGAAATCTTTGCTGTTAAAATTCTTGTTGATTTTCCTTTCTGCTTATGCCAGCAGTTCTCATTCATACCTCTTCAAGGCATTTTAAAGTGCCAGCAGCAATTCTAAGATCTCAGACCTCTCAGAATGTCTTTTACCATGAGCAGATGATCATGAGGAGTGCAGAAGTGGCATTTCTTTTGCATTTATGGATTTTTGTGTTTACCTGCCTAAAATACACATTATATTTATCACAGGATAAAAATCCCCTTTCCCTCAAAGAAATATTAGTGTCTTGAGCTTTGTATAGTATTTGATGCAGAGCCTCACTGTCCTTACGCAGTTCTTACTTGATTGCTCTTCAGTTGGTGGCAAAATCGTGAGATTTTATGCATTAGGTTCACCTGGCTGATGATGGGAAAGAGCAACAAAATGTCTAAGACAGCTGCTGTCATTTCTTCTCCTTTCCTTGTTCTGCATTATTAAAGGAGAGAAAAATGTAAAGGAAAAAGGCTGTGGTAGACAATAATGTTGTGACTCCTTGATCTCAAAATTCCTAATTGCATTATATTTCAGGACAAAGCATAGTGCCAAAATATTGTGATCATTTGTACTACAAAGGACACAATTTATTTTGGACTGTTGCTGCTTTTATCTTCAACCTTGCTGAAAGACGTGTGTCCTCTGTGTAACATCAATCCAGAAAACTTGACAGATGATGTCTAGATTTTATTTTACTCTCTCTGGGACCCTCTATGTTATATATTTTTACGTATAAAAATGTGTTACAGTTGTAAGGATGTGTGACCCATGTGGATTTTAAGTTGTTTTTCTGGAAATCAGATTGCAAAAATTAGATCATGCATTCTGGAGTTTATATAATACAACAATTTTTTTTTTAATTCTCCTTTAATGTCAAGCTTGCAAATAGATGCTTAGAAATATGTAGTAACTGATACTGGGGTTTGGGGTTTGGTGGTTTTTTTCTCCCCCCAAAGCTGTGTACGCCAGTAAAAACAATGTTGTTGTAAGATCGGTAGTTTTATTAAGGTCTAAAAACCATCAGAGACACTTTTTACATGTAAGTGAGGGGTGAAGAATGTGAGATACACGACCTAGAGTGGAAGGCTTCCCTCCTGTGCCCATCCATGATCCCCAGTGTGAGCTGTGGCATCACTTCCTGCACACGTGTCTGTGCTACAGGTGGCTGTGGGTGCCTGGGATGCTCCTGCTCAGTGGTGAACAGGCTGTTCTGGAAGGCCTGGGCTGAGGGAATGCCTATTGGGAGAGCAATGAACTTACTGTGTCCTGCCTGAAGAGCAAAAAGGTGGAAGTGAAAGAAGAAAATACGAAAATACCCACTACAGAAAGGGAAGAATTGGAATAAACCCCGTTTTTATCTCCATGCACCTTTTCCACAAGTACTAATTTGATTGTGTCTTTGTTTTTTCCTCTCTGTCATATCAATACTTACACAGCTCAGCCTCTATTATTGCAATCAGACTGATATAAAGGAGTTGACAAAATTTTAATGAAGGATTTTCTGTTTTGTAATACATTGGTGTTATTTTGGAATGTCTTTGTCTTTAAAAATGGCAGCCTTTTTACACAGTAGTGCTCTTGTTGCATTTTGCTGTTGATGATATCCAAACTAAGAATTGCCTGACGTGGGAATGAAAGAAACGTAAATGAAAAATCCTAACTGTGATGATGGGCTTGCCTGATGTCTAAATGATAACAAGAAATCAGTGGAACTCCTCTGGAAAATCAGTAAATATATAGCAATTGTATGTTTTTATGTCTATGTGGAATTTTTATGCATCATATGGAAATTAGGAAACATCTGCTTCATCTTCATATGGCTTTACTCTCCAACTTATGTGACTACTGATAACCAATAAAAAAAGAAAGAAAGGAGGAACAGATATTAGAGTTTTGTTTGACAGTCCTGAAATCCCTCCCAGATACATATTTTTGTCTTTGGGACAGTATTTCAGTTTCCTCTTCAGCAATGGTACCTGACTGTTGATACTCCTGGGACAAGCCACGTTCATTCAGACACCAACATCTTCAAAGTCCTCTGTAAAGCTGATGGGGTGCAGGAGAGAGCACAGCTTCTCCTGTGGTTCTAGAGCATGAGGGTTGAAAAGGAAAGAGCTTCTCCAGTGGTGTGGAAGGGGACAGAGAGAATATGAAGTTGCAAGCAGGAAAAAATAAGTTTATTCCAATGAGTTTAAAATAAAATCATCCTTTCTTTCAGGGTCAGGGCAGCCCTTTGTATAATCAGAATGACTGTAGTGGTAGCACTGAGATGTGTGGATCAAGTGATATATGCTGTAGTCTTTGTGATATTTTCACTTCATGTTTCTGTAGCTTGATGGGATGGATAGATAGATGGATAGACAGACAGAGCAAGCTGTCTGACCTCTGATGGAAAAAGAGATTTTCTCTTGTGTTGGACTTCAATTTTACGTTTTACCATTTCAGTGTAATCTGTAAAATGCTTCCCATGAATGCCATTGATCAATGGAATTAAACCAGTTGAATAGCATAGCCTCTGACTTTGGGAAAACAAAAATTGGAGATGCACTAGAGAAAATAAATTAACAAATTGCTGTATAATGCTGTTTAGTTTGCTTTGAAGCAGAATGCTTGCTGTAAGAAGGTTAATATTGACTGTGCTTGTATGTTTTGTTTTTTGGCAGGTAACCCTGGACTGGCAGGTTATTACAGGACCTTTATACAGGCTTTATATTGTGGACTGAACCAGCAGTATCCCGTGTGGGTTGTGAGCCATGCCGGACATTGTAAACCTCCCAGTGGGATGGAAATGATAGAAGGTACAATTTTGCAACTTGTGCATATAAATGTTTGTACCCCTCCCATTTCACTACCAGAACATGGCCTGTTAGAAGGATGTGAGTTTTAAATGTCTCCATTGTATTTCCACAGAATAGTTGTATGAAAATTTACTGAGGAAAAAAAGTATTTTTAGGTAAATTAGATTTGCCAGACAAACAAGTGCTATTAAGAGAATAAGAATTTGCTGTTGGCAGTCGTTAGAGACAAGTTACAGTGAAGAGGTTCTAGAATGTGTCTGTGTTGAGTAGATTAGAAAAGTACGTTTTTAAATTAAATGTCCAATTCAAAGATTGAGTATGTTAGGAGAGATTTAATTATCTCTGAATTTAATAATAGCTGTACTAAATAAGTGAATTTCCTAGAAGCAATTACCTCTTTCTGAGTCTGGGGTGTGGGATGTTTAGAGGGAAGATATTGTTTGTGTATCTCTTATGAGTCTTTTGACATGCAGATCTCCAGCAAGACGTAGTAGCCAGCTTGAACAGACATTGTTAATGTAGAACATTGTAAAACGGGGGGAGCCAGCAGCAAATCCTGTCCTGAAAGCTGCTTAGTGTCAGAATACCTCTGGACTTGGTCAGGCTGCTGATCCAAAAGGTTCAGCAATGTAAATTAACCTGAAAATTTTGAAGAAGAAACCATTTTAACTGTTTAGCATAACTTTCCCTCACTAACCTTTGCACCTGAGCTTCTAAGCCTTTTTATTGGTTTATTTAATCTCAGGTTTGAAAGTTAAATATGAAACTTGTATTTCTTTGGTAAAGTTCCTGCCAGTCATTGTGTTCAAGCATCAAGCTACTGACTACTAGCATTTTTTCCTGACAGGTGAGAAATCCTTAGGTTTATAATTTCTGGTACAGTAGTAGCCACAGGGAACAGGTAGAAGTCTGGCAAGAGAGTGGAGCTGAGTTTATTGCAGGGAACATTTGAAGGTCTGCACTGGGATCGTGTCTGTAAGTGTGTAGTTAGTAAAAAGAACCTTTGATAGTGAGAGATGTGTTTGGTGACTTGAAATGGCTCAGCAAATTGAAAGGGGGAGAAGGATTTTAGATTGAGTCGGTAGGGGTGTTGTCCCACTTCCACTGTGACAGTCCCTGTACTACTAAAGAGTGTAAATCTGGGTGGAGGACAGCATCCAGTAGGTAAAAGCAGCTGATAGATCTAAGTTGAAAGCAAGTGTTTAGCTGACTTCACTGTATCCTTTTGCACTGACAATGCTTCTGTGAGAGGGGGAATTTTCAAGAATGTGGTAGCTTTTTAAGATGGACAGGTCAGAAGTGAAGTACCATGATGGTGTTGTGTCAGGTTTTATTCAATATATTCACCCATGACCTGCAGAATGAGAGTAAACAAAGAAATTTCTCAGTTTGTGGATGGCACTTCATAGCATTTAATTACTGGGAAGACATTAGATGTGAGGGAACTGCAGAAACATCTCACAAAATTTAATGGTTGGACAAAAAGATGGTAGACAAGTTTCAGGATAGATAAATATGAATTAATGCATCTGACAAAAAATATCTTCTTTAACTGCCTGGGCAATCCTGAACTTTGAGTACGTTTATAAAACTCAGGAAAGATACTAGTGTCATCACTGACAGTTCTGTAATATTAATCATCTCTCATTGCACAGTGGCAGACAAAAATTTAAGATAACAAAGCATTGGCCATAAGGAGTGTTACATACAAGGCAGGAGGCATTGGTTTGTTAGTGTATGTGACCATAGTAGACCCACACCTTGATTATTAGAGCGCAGTTCTGATGGGCATCTCAATGACAACTTTTCAAGAGTGAAGTTGGTGAGTGAATGCAGAAAGACAACTAAACACGGAGAAAGCAGCTTTCTTGTTATGAGACATTACATGACTCTTTGATTTAGGGAGCATAATGCTTCTCAGGAGCATGACTGAGTATCTGAACATGAGCCAGCAGTGTGCCCAGGTGGTCAAGAAGGCCAATGGCATCCTGGCCTGAGTCAGGAACAGTGTGGCCAACAGGACCAGGGAAGTGATTCTTCCACTGTACTCAGTGCTGGTGAGGCCACACCGGGAGTACTGTGTCCAGTTCTGGGCCCCTCAGTTCAGGAAGGATATTGAGGTGCTGGAGCAGGTCCAGAGAAGAGCAACGAGGCTGGTGAAGGGACTGGAGCACAAGTCCTATGAGGAGAGGCTGAGGGAGCTGAGGTTGTTCAGCCTGGAGAAGAGGAGGCTCAGGGGAGACCTCATCACTCTCTACAACTCCCTGAAAGGAGGTTGTAGCCATGTGGGGTTGGTCTCTTCTCCCAGGCAGCGATCAGTAAGACAAGAGCGCATGGTCTTAAGATCTGCCAGGGGAGGTTTAGGTTAGATATTAGAAAGAAATTCTTTACAGAGAGAGTAATCAGGCATTGGAATGGGCTGCCCAGGAAAGTGGTGGATTCTACGTCCCTGGAGGTTTTTAAGATGAGACTGGATGTGGCACTTAGTGCCATGGTCTAGTGACTGTGATGGTGGTGGATCAAGGATTGGACTTGATGATCTCAGAGGTCCCTTCCAACCCAGCTATGACAGTAAATAAGGTAAATGCAGGATGAAATATACCAGATTCAATAGTGGAACCAACCATCACTTAATGGTACCAGCTGATTTAAAACAGGTAAGAGAAAGTATTTATTTATTTATTTATTTATGCATCAGGTAAAAAGTTTAGGGAATTAGCAGCCAAAGCACTATATTGTGGGCAAACTGTATGAGCAGACCTAAAAGGATAAAACAACCTGATGGACAGGTGGTTCATAAACAGCTGCTGAAAGAGTGAAGTTCTCTGCTGTGCAGGTGCACTCCTGTCCTTGTGTTGGACACCAACCTTCACACTTCTGTGCTGCTCCTGGTCCCAGTGCCATCCTGTGACAGGGTTTTGAGCCTGAAAGAATCCCCCCAAAAGGGGAAGGGAGGCAGAAAGTGTCCAGGCTTGGTGATGCCTGAATAGCATCTTCTCTTGCCACTGCTGACCTTGGGGGATTGACATGCCTGACCCAGTAAAGTATTTTTTAAAAATTAGGTGTACTGTAAAAATTAAAGTGTTCTGTAAAAATTCCATGTGTTCCTATGTCCTTCCTATAGATGTTTCATAAAGCTTGATCTAAAATAGCTGCATGCAGATCCTCTGAGGAAGTTCAGTATTTCTTGATAACAAAGGTGAGGGCATAAATTTATGCAGAAAACATTTGAATCTCTGACACCATTGATTATTGAGATTTTTCAGATTGTAATCTAGTGAATAAAAGTGGGGGAAGAGGGGGAGCTAGCAGAAAAGAACAATTCATACTGATGCATTTACAGCAGTGGTCTACAAAGTTTTTTGCTCCTGCACTACTGTCAGTAAAAAAAAAATTTGGGGCACACACTCTCAACATATCATTTTTAAAAATTTAAATTACATACATATTCCTCTGCATTTCTGGTATTTCTTTCCTATACCCCACTGTGCATGCACCCCATTTCAGAGACTACTGATTTAGAGTGTGCAAGCCTTTAAGCAGTGCACTTAACTTGTAAATGATGATGCTGTAAAGGGGTCTAAAATTAAGCAAACTGTGTGAAAGTATTATGACTGGTTATATATAGATCAAGTAAATTTTGAAAGTCTCAGAAAGACTAAAACAAGTTTTCCAACAGCAGACATCAGTCATAGACTTCTTCCTAATTGACTGGAGGCATATCACTTAGCAGTTTGGAAACCAAACAAAGCTACACCCTTCATTTTTACTTCTCTATGATATCCTTCTATTCAGAGAGTTCTTGCCGGCTCTGCTCCACAAAGACACACACCATTAATTGAACATTTCATTGCTGTAATTCTGTTTCCAGCAATTAATCCACTGTGAAAAATAATTTGAAACTTATTTTTACTCAGTGAACGCAATGAAAAATTATACCTCAATTTCAACATCCTTATCCTCCTCCTCAACTTTTAAAAAGCAGTTGTTTTGAACACTGCTGTGACTGCAAAACAGACCCACATCAATCCTTAGGTGTAGCCAAAATTACAAAAAGGAGAAGAGTTTTCTTATTTTGTTTTAAATTGGCATTAAAAATGGATAGACAGGCTGTGTACATACGTAGCCATGTCTTAAAATGGTCTAATTCAGTGGACATCTGCTGTGGCTTGACAAGAAATAGGAAATAAGAGATCTCAGACGGAAGTAAGAGTAGAATCATAGAGTCATTAAGGTTGGGAAGGATCATCAAGTGCAACATTTGACTGAATGCCACCATGCCCACTAAACCATATCACAAAGTGCCACCTCTACTCGTTTTTTGGACACTTCCAGGGATGGTGACTCCACCACTTCCCTGGGGAGCCTGTTCCAATGTTTAACCACTGTTTCAGTGAAGAACATCCCCCCTGAGCGTTCTTTTCTGTGGGCTGAGCCCCTCCAGATCCCTCAGCAGCTTCTCATAAGACTTGTGCTCCAGACCCTTTGTTGCCTTTCTCTGGACACGCTCCAGCACCTCAGTGTCCTTCAAGAAGAAGGACACAGGTTTGGTTTGGTTTGTCCTTAGGGCTGCCAAGATATTACTTTTGGTAGTGAAGTAAGATTGAGAGTAAAGAAAAATTAAATCAAAGTCAATTTGTTTATTTATTTGTTGTAATAGTCTTTGTGTGCCAAGCACTACAGAAATATGGAATCGTGTGATTCTTAATTGATTAAAGAGACACAACTGATGCATTAAAATAGCTAGTCATCAGTCATTTCTTACTGATACAATATTTGGACAAGTGATAAATTATATTAAAGATAAATCTCTTGAACTTTCTAAACTGTACAGATGAGTATTGGGCTATACAAAGTCAAATTACAAACACTTTTTATAGTGTCAGCAAGACATGTTTTCTCTTTCGAACAGATTCTCTGCTGAATGCTGGTTTGCATCTGAATCACTATTATCTTGCTTTTGAATGAAATGCCATTCTTAATAGTCAAGTTAAAAGATA